TGGTGTGTGTTGTGTTGTGTTGTGTGTTGTGATGTGTGTTGTGGTGTGTGTTGTTAGGTGTGTTGTGTTGTGTGTTATGTTGTGTGTTGTGGTGTGGGTTGTGGTGTGGGTTGTGAGCAGTGTTATGTGTTGTTAGATGTTTTGGTGTGTGTTGTGGTGTGTGTTGTTAGGTGTGTTGTGAGGTGTGTTGTGAGATATGTTGTGGCGTGTTGTTAGGTTGTTATGAAGTGTGTTGTGGTGTGTGTTGTGTTGTGTGTTGTAAGATGTGTTGTGGTGTGTGTTGTGAGGTTTGTTGGTAGGTGTGTTGTGATGTGTGTTGTGATGTGTGTTGTGTGTTGTTAGGTGTGTGGCTAGGTGTGTTGTGGTGTGTGTTGTCTTGTATGGTGGTGTGTGTGTTGCTAGGTGTGTTGTGGCGTGTGTTGTGATGTGTGTTGTTAGGTGTGTTGTGAGGTGCGTTGTTATGTCTGTTGTTAGGTGTTATGAGGTGTGTTGTGGTGTGTGCTGTGATACCCCAGTTGACTGTGTTGCCCTGATACTCCACATAAATGTGTTGCTGTGATACCCCAGTTGACTGTGCTGCCATGATACTCCACATGAATGTGTTGCTGTGTTACCCCAGTTGACTGTGTTGCCATGATACTCCACATGAATGAGTTGCCGTTATGCCCCAGTTGACTGTGTTGCCATGATACCCCACATAAATGTGTTGCTGTGATACTCCAGTTGACTGTTTTGTCATGATACTCCACATGAATGTGTTGCCGTGATACCCAAGTTGACTGTGTTGCCATGATACTCCACATGCATGTGTTGCTGTGATACCCCAGTTGACTGTGTAGCCATGATACCCCACATAAATGTGTTGCTGTGATACCCCAGTTGACTGTGTTGCCATGATACTCCACATAAATGGGTTGCTGTGATACCCCAGTTAACTGTGTTGCCATGATACTCCACATGAATGTGTTGCAGTGATACCCCAGTTGACTGTTTTGCCCTTATACCCAACATGAATGTATTGCTGCGATTCACCATTTGAGTGTGCTATTAATATTACCTAACATTTATTCAGACATGATAAATAACAACGACAACAACGACAACCACAACAACGCAGTTTGTCGATTCAAAAGGAATCACTTCGGGCATCCAGGCTGGCTCTTCACCAGCATCTTGAAAGTAGTGAGCCGGTAGACGTGCTGATACAGGGAACATATTCCCCCGATGTATTACATACACGTATTGGTAGTTGAAGAATGAAGGTCAGCGTCATGATATTGTTCGTGTCCATCGCTGTCTGCAGTGTCGATGTATTTACACAAGGACATATGAGGCAACATTAAGTCTATGTTGGGGTTCGAATCCCGTCACGGGACTCAGAAATTTTATGGCCGCTAACATATAAACAAATATAGAAAACTTGATATTGTATTTACAAACATTAAACTTGACTGTAGAGGCCCTGCACTTCTATGGTGCCTGTTCATGAATGTTCTGTTTTATTCAATTAAATGGGATGAAAGTGACGTGAATTTGTTTCTGATTACCATGTAGCAGCAGTATTAAAAATCGCCCCCTCGCCAGAATGGATACGCTGAAGAATGCCACAGTGAACAAAGAAATGGTTGACGAAAGCTCCCACCGTTGTCCCAGCAGTCATATTCTTAGTAGCCACAGCCTGGGCAGCGTATCCATTCTGACGAGGGTGCGAATTTTGTTGGGAAATTGATAAATAAATTATGCGATTTACTTGGAATTGACAAGTCCAGAACCACCTCCTATCATTCGCAAGGAAATGGGATGTGCGAACAGTTCAAACGCACTTTACTAAACACGTTGTGCCCACTTGAACCAGATAAGAAAGCAGGTTGGGAATCGTATTTGTCATCTCGTTTTTTTCCTACTGCTTGGAGAGAAGCTGACTTCCTATGTTGAATCCATGAGAAAGAAACTAAATAATGCGTATAACTTGGCATCAGTTTTTTCAAGACATGCAAGTGGCAGTGAAATGTATCTCATGAAGACAACCAGCTTGCTTGTCATCGTGGCAGCTTGAATAAAAGTTTCATCCCGAACTCCGTCGTCTGTCATAGTTCAGGATGGATAACACCGACTTCACTACTATCAGGTAATTGTATCAACAGACAATTAAATCAGAGCAAATATACAAACTGATTAGCAAAGCAATTGTATAACAGTTGTAAAAAAGGACAGTAGCATAATCAACCCTTTGACAAGATAATTGTAAGATGAATATACAGCCAATCAACAAAGAGTTAATTATCTCGACACTCTTATGAGTCAATAACCTCAAATGGGTTACGGAGAAATTCACACTGAGGGATAAAATAGACAGAAAACGCATGAATGGCAAACAAGTCTTATAGACTAAAGTCTCAGTCACTGAGACTGGTCAAGGAAATATTGGACTTCCCCAAAATACATCACACTTGACCTACTGAGTATCCAGAATCCCAATCATTAATAAAGCTGCTAGCTACGACCAAAAGAGTAAATTTGACTCCAAATCCTCAAAAAGTACTTGACCTAAGCTAAGCAAGCGCGGAAAGTTGGTTATCTACGGATTACTTATAACATGGGGTTCGACATACAAAAGTCTAGCCATTTAGTTTTTTTCTTGAGCTCACTAACACCAGAGTAAGTCAGTACCAGAGAGAAAACGACCCGGTAAAAACTTACTAACGAACCTTAAGTTTTACGATCTGACCAAACCATGGCCAGTATCTAGACGACCCGTAAACGGTCCAGCGATACCTCGGGGTGAAGACACATCGTTTTGCCAAGAGTTTTATACGAGACACGTGGACCTCGGAGAAAGCAACCTCTCTGGGTTAGTAGGGAGAATGCTATAGAATACCGAGCTAAACAAAGTGTGTTTTCAAACATTACCACTAAAGATTTGCAACCAGATATGTACACTTTTTTGAGATGGCAAAAATGAACTTAAATACAAGAGAAATATCTACAAGTACGAGATAATCCCGCTAGTGCGCGAAAATAAATGTTACTACAACATTTTCCATAAATGAATAAGGTAACATATCAATACATGTCAAAAGTATGCGATTATACAGCTAGAGAATAAAATTTACGTGTCATCAATGCTCTAACAATGAACGTATGGACACCGGACCGGAGTATGGCGACCGCCGGACGTTGTCGAACGGTGACGACGCCGGGCAGTTGAGTGAGCGGGAAGCGGTACAGTCACTAGACCGTGACCAGACTGGTTTTACGACCCGAGGACAACTTGTTCTGTGGGGGTGAATTCGGAACCTCAACGCCAGAGAATAATCAGTCTCGAGTATTTGCCGAAACAGATTCCATTGGGCGTGTAGAAGGTAAATAGTAATGAGAACTGAATGACTGGATCATTGAGAATCGGTGACACTAGATGTTCGCGAAAAGGGTAAGCATGTCCTATCCTACCGGTAACACCCACAACTCCATGGATACACAATTTCCATGGAAACGCAAGTGTTTGTTTCTTGTCTAACGCTCCTGCAATAACTGCAATACTTCTGGCTGTGATGATTGACGAGTCAGAAGTCAAGTAACGTAACTGTAACGATCTGGAAATTTAGAGGTATGTCAAATATATGAAGGCCCGATTTCCTACACAGGTTACCATGTGGCTTCAGGGGGTAGAAGCATGGTGGAAACATAGCGACACATACACTTAAACAGTCATATCTTTCTACAAGGAAATATCTTCCAATGCATACACTGTTTCTTGATAATGAGAAAGCCTTTGATCGCATCCAGTGCAACAGACTATTCCTGAAAATATTCGGTGTGCAAGGGAAAGCCTGGCATATCATACGTCAGTCGAACCACGAATCTACTGCATGTGTCGGATATGCTTGCGAGACAAGTCGAAAAGGTGTGGGACAAGGACGCGTCTAATCCGAATGGATGTTCCTTGTGTATAAACGTTATTAACGAGCATATACGCCGATTTTTAAATAAGGTGTTATACTTGGTGGTGATCTCACTCGCTTATGGCACGACCCTCATAAGCTCGACAAGTAGCATATATGTCCTTACATACTGTCCATCAATATACTTGCCAATGTAGAGTGACATATAATGCAAGCAAAAGTTATCTTAGAGTTAAGTCGTGGTACCAAATCAATCATATTCTTTTCGGCCAAGTAAGGACATGGAATTGAACACATATATGGGTTCAGTTATCAAAACTCGTTTGGAATCCGGATTGACCACAATCGCGAGGTGTTCTATTTCAAGTGTGCACAAAATGTCACAGGCAATCACAAAAGCAAGTCTGTCTGTGTATGCTGGTGTCAAGGACGGAACACTACCAGTAACACCTGGACAGTGCTTCATGTGATGACGAGTGAGATGACGTAATAAAACACCAACTGCTACTTTGTGCAGCTTTAGCTGATGCAAGGAAACCATATATGAGCATCTATTTGACACTTTGACCTCAAATACATGTATATTGAAGACTGCAGATGACAAAGTTAAAATTGTGATATCACTGGGTGGTATGCGCCTTATTGTAGGGGATATGATCCTGGAGAGCAAGGCGGACGTCATATCATCTGGATCAGCGATCTATCTATAGACAGTAACACGTATCATCCCAGGAACATGCGGTATTGGGAAACTTCAATTTCTCTGCTTAGTTCCTTTGTAAGTATGTGTTTATATGATTACAAATGTTTGTCTCTCTCCGACACTAATGGAGGAAATACAAAACAACCATTCAGTATAACCTGTAAAATTCACAGGTATTCTACACATATATACCTTTAATTTTAGATCTAACTGTAGATGTCTGGCGGGGAGCTTCTTTCACAAAGTCAAATAACACTGGCTGAAATTAGAACATTGTGCTCAGTTCAGTGTAGTGAATAAGAAAACTGTTTCGCATAATATCGTTTCAATCCGTATGCAATCGGGTGAGTGTTGCTTCAAATTCACTGTCAAACCCTCCGATGTAAATAGGTCAAATGAGTTAAATGTAAACAAAGTCAGTCAGCTAGCTATGGCCTAGTACGCGGAGCATATTATCAGTGCGCGGACAGGTCTAAGCGTATTCAACTACCCACAAAAATGAAGCTTCAAGTCTTGACGTTCCTAGGGTTCATCACTGTCGGCAGTGGCGATGTATTCACGCATGAAGAGAGCGAGGACATCAAGGGTTACCTTGAAACTATGATGGGGTGTCACAACATCCCCGGCCTCACCATCGCCGTGATCAAGGGTAACGACAGCTGGACTCTACCCTTGGGGTATGCAGACACAGCGGCAAAGAGGGCGGTGACTGATGAGACGCTGTTCGGAATAGGTTCGATAACAAAATCAATAACTGCAACGCTCATTGCTGTGATGATTGACGAATCAGAAGGAAAGTAAGTACCATAAATCGTATGGATGCTCACATCTGTAATCCCGATCGTAGTTACACAATTACTCGTATGTGTCCAGAGTTCACAGAGATAACATATTATCTGTCAGTATATTCATTAAATATGGATACACTCACATGTACATTTATCACAGGAACATTAAAAGTAAATGTGTGAAAATATTTACTATAAACCGCTTCTGTAGTCTAGTGGGTCAGGCGTCTCTAGAGGAAGCTGAAGTCCGGTGGTTCGATCCCCTGGCCACGTCATTACAAAAGACCTGGTACTTTTTGTTACATTGCCTGGCGCCCTGAATTAAGGGGCTTATAACAAGGACAGGTAGGCTCGGAGTCGGTAAACTGTGTCTGACGGGGGTATCCATGTTAAACTGTGGGGTGGTATTTATTTATCTGCCACTACATAAAGCCCGGCCTCGTAAAGGCAGCCACACACCAGGCATTCGCGTCGCCATTTTAGTGTTATAATCTTGAACGTTGATTTCATATAACTAAACCGATTTTTACCATGTAATCAGGAATATTCCTTTGTGTTACGACTGCGTGTACACAGATGACCTATCAACATCCGTCAATCCACAAATCAGAAAGTCCCAGGTGACACAATCAATCTTTCCGGTCTTTCATTGAGTTCTGTTTTCTAATAACTATACGACAACAATAATAATAATTATATGTAAATATATGTAATCAGCAATTAGGAAAGATATATTAGCTGAATGTTTTGAAAAATGTACCTGCGAAAAATTGCTGCACGCAACGATGTGCGAAATACATTCAAGATAGTGTCTTTGTTGTTGAAAACATTAATATATTATGTTATGTCAAAGGAAACACACGGCTAAAGCTATGACACAGGTGGTCGGGGGAACGTTGACTGACACAATATCAGCTCACGTACTGAGGTCACCCTGACCTTACTTTAGTCGTCTCTTGACACATGGGGTATTGGGGTCATACACTAAGCCGACAACACATTTCGCAATCGCAGCACAGTTAGGGAGCAAAGTTCAAATTGAGAGTATTTGAAATCGTGCAGGTAACAGCGATATTACGTGCATTAGATTAAATAGCCACATGTGATAACTGTACAACGTCAAGGTGAATATGCATGTACCTCTCGTGTGAATATTGACATCCATGATTGTATGGAGGGGGGTCCGTGTCAAAATTACTTTCTACCGCAGTCTACATCAATAATTATGTCCCGCAATATACAATGTAAAGTGGGAATGTCGTAAAATGCAAGTTAGTGACAGATCCCCTATCGACCTTAAGATTTAAGGCACACACATCATTGTGCATGTTTGTATCCATGCATTTCGAGATATAACTTTGAAATTGTCACAAGCAGTGTGTCTTCCAGCGTTACCAGGATACATGTACTTCGCGGAACAGTCAACATCAAGGACTAAACTTTCATTCTTGGCCTTTACAACGTATGGTGTCCGTCTCTGTTTAAGTTAATGCGCGCTTTAATTGACTTTTACTGATGTAAAGTGCAGTACGAAGCACGTGAAGTAGATGGGTGTCAAAGTGCATGGTATGTTCAACAGATGCAGGTTTTACGACACCACCACGTATCCTGTCATCAACTAGCTGTAGAGAATCGATTATGTCAGGTCGTTGTGGAACATCCTTTGTGTGTCAAATATGTGTCTTCTTAGCGTTTTGACGTAGGAGATTTCAACTTGCATATACATAGATAAGTAGCAACACACATATTGTATTATATAAGAACATACAGTTGTATACAATAGTTATCGTTATTAACAATCCGTTTTTGCATTGAGCCATTTTCTCACGTTTAGAGATACGTAACATCTGTTTGTATGGAGTAAAATTGTAAAAATCCATGCATTTCATGCCTTGTTGCAGGATAACGTTCGACACCCCTGTTTCCGAACTTCTGGGAGTAGGCTACCAGTTCCCCGATGACTTTCAGACAAGGGAGACAACTATTAAAGATGTTTTGAGTCACCGGACAGGAATAGCAGCACTGAATCTCGCCATGCTATTCGGAATTCCTCCGGGGATTTCGAGAGAAGACTTTTCTAAGTACTACACCCATGTCTATACTGTTATAATAACATCATCAAGTAGCCATAAAGCACTCACATGACTTCTCATCCCACCAAATCTGTATAATTATCCCCGAAAATCAAATCGCATAATCGTAACCATCGAAAACATGGATATAAAAGAGTCTAGTATTTGATCTGTCTTTATAAGCTGCTATAGAGAGGGGGAGGTGCCCTGTGCTTTAAGCGTTGAAACTTCTCTCGTCGCGCCGAAGGCCCGGGTTCGATATCCCACATTCTGCTGCCCGCCGCCGTGATATTGCTGGAATAGCGGCGTTAAACCATACCTACTCTCTTTTAAAGATTTTCTTATGTGGGTTGATGCGTCGTTTATCTTATGTCTGTACATGTATCTCACATGCACGACATCCTTCTTAGACTTGTAGGAATGATGACCTCTAAGCCATTTCGAGGAGAGATGCTGTACAGCAACTTCATGTACATGCTGGCTGGGCATATCACAGAGAAGGTTTGGGGAGCATCGTGGGAGGAGAATCTCAAGACCAAGTTGTTTCAAAAGATCGGCATGGCGTCCACAGAAGCCATTTCAGGGGACGCTGACATTACAGGCGACAAATACGCCCGTCCATACGTCTATCTGAGGGGCGAAGTAGTAGAAGGTGATCCGTCTCCATTTGAGTAAGTTGTTTGTAACATATGATGGTTCAATTTCGACGTCAGTACAATTCAGAGGTAACGGAATTTGCTGCCACCCCTTCATGTAAGTTCAGACTTATTTTAAGCAGTTAGATTTTCTATATAAGTGTAATAGACGCCCTCTAAAGCCTGTAAAAGGCGCCCTGTGACAGTAGAACTATAAAAATGGATGACAAAGGGTCTGATGTTTTACTGCGGTGCTTTGCGTTGTGTTCTCTTCTCCCTGGGCAGTATTCTTCTGTCTCTATGTTCTAGGAGGCTCCTGACCGGGCTACCAATTCTAATTATAGATAAAGCACAAAGGAGGAAGTTTGATCTAAAGTTTACTTCTAACAAAAATAAACAACAACAGGGGGCAAAACCTTCCTCCACTTAATCAAAACCTACGTACCCCCCCCCCCCCCCCCCCCCTTCTCTGCCTACGTAACACAATTCAACATTCGTCCTTAAACTTGCTCTTATAACCACCCTTCTAATTTAACTCCCGAAAGTAAAACGGCCCCAAACAAACCTATTTAATCCCCACTCTATTTCCCCACATCCATATATCCTGATCTAACGTCCCATTTATCCCAACGAAAGCCGTATGAGAAATAATAAATGGTCCTGATTCAGGGCGCGTGAGTCGACTCTTCCTTACCAGATACTGGTGAGTGACGACTGACGGTTCCCTACCCAGGGTAGACTTATAAAGCCGACACGCGGACCATGTGACCAGGAAAGCGGACACAACCAATGAACACGCTCCTTACTTTCGGCTCTCCCAATCATGGCTTCCGCCTAGCCGAGCATGCAAGGAGCGTGACATCGTCACGTCTTCCCAGCCACTCCGCCCGCGTGGGCATAAGACACTACAACAAGGACTAAAAAGATAGGTACAACGTCAGCCGTTCAACTCCCTTTAAACTAACCCACCCACTACGTTCCTAAATATATCCATTTACCCACAATAATCCCCAGTCGACCACCTAAGTATACGTCAATACGTTTGCAGACCAATTGCGACTGTTTGTAAACCATGAAACAGCATTTTATATGCAGAACACTGATGATTTGTAGTGCACCAGGGGCGTTTGCTGTATTCAAACATACATACAGCAGGTGACACAGTATGTTGCTTACAAGAGTAGTGCATGTATAATGTCCATACCCTACTCCAGACTATGCTCTGGTATTACAGTGTCAGCGTCACACTCTTTATCAAGTAAAAACAATGCGACATGTTGTTTGGGTTGCAATGTATGACATTATATTATGGATGTTATTTGTATGGTTTGCAGTATTAGTACCGTGGGCCCAGCCGGTGGACTGGCTACCAACATCAAGGACAAGGTTAAGTTCATGAGGTTTATGTTAAACAAAGGGAAACTAGAGAATGGAACGCAATTAATCAAGGAAGCGACCCTACAGCAACTGTGGCAGCCTGTCATTCCTCTGCCTCCGTTCGTGGTGTTCATGATGGAGAGGCTCTCTCCACAGTGGCCCGTGGCCGACATATCAACCGGCTATGGCATGGGTTGGTTCAAGAATGTCTACAGGGGTATGTTTATTAAACTAACTATTTATCATATATGTTCTTCATTGACATATACACGAATGATGGATGCTATCGTACACGTGACTTGGCACTATATTCACCAAAGACAACCCGCTTATATTAGAAGGATCATGAATTGATTGGGCCAAAATGAAAATAATATCGTGTTGTTACATTTCGATTCCCATTTTGAAACAATATGTTAATCCAGAACTCTGTACGTAGGAGAACCTAGAGTGAAACCAACGAACAAACAAGTGGTATACAATCAACAAATGTATAACAGACTTACTAGGTTTACACATTAACACAAATTACTGCAGAGATATTACAATGGCAGTACACACTAGATTGGTAGTACGATATTCAATGGCAATATATAATATGATGGCAGTGATCAGTATCAAATACTAAGATACAGTGGTGCTAGCAAACGTCAGTAATATTATTGTATATTCATCCAGCGGCGACTGTGGTCTAGCTTCCGAGATGGGTTCCAAAGCGATGAAATGCGTGCGAGATGAAATGTGTGAGAGAATGTGAGGGAATGTATGAGCGATACGCAGACAAGCTACAGTCCCACTCGCTTCCAGAACACCACAGAATATTCCAAAGCAGTCCACGGTGTGAGAGCTGGTCAAAACGTTCACAATTTTGAAAATGTTTTTAATCTTATTTTTCAACATAATCACCCTGCTTTTCAATACACTTCCCATGCCAATAGTGAAGCTTTCAATTCTAGATAAGAATAAGGTGTCTGAAGCTACCCTGAAAACCCCATTCACGGCAGCTTTGGGGTCACCGTTGTCATCATAGCGCTTTCCACGAAGGTGTTCTTTCAGTTTAGGAAACAGATGGAAATCACTTGGAGCCAGGTCTGGCAGGGTGTCGCACGGCAGCCTTTGCAAGTCGAGGGGTGTAAGAAAAGGCATTGTCATGAAGTAGTAGAACTCCAGCAGGCAGCATTCCTCGCCGCTTTTCTTTGATGGAATCTCTCATTCGATGAAGCACATCAGCATAGTTGGCTTTCTAAGTAATCAACAATGTTCACACTCTTTGCATCCCAGAATACAGTGGCCACAAAATAATTTTCTTCACTGATCTTGAAGACTTGAATTTCGTTGGTGCCGGCGAATTAAGAATGGTGCCATTCCATGGATAGACGTTTTGACTGGGGATCATAGTGGTAGACTCATGTTTTATCACCCGTTACTAATCTCGTTTTGAATTAGACGAAATTCTCCTCAATTAGCTCTAATTTTGTTTCTGGCAATGTCAGTTCATGTTTTCCTTAAGATCAGAATTTAGAAACTTTGGCACCCAGCGAGCAGATATCTTATTCATAAATGTTCATGAATAATAGTTTCAATGGATCCATAGTTTAGACCTGTGTCTTCCTCAAGTTCAACAATGGTAAAACGTCTATCTGATTGATTATTTATACCTATTTACCTCTGACATGCGGTCATGAATGTCTTTGAGAGTATTTTTCTCTGATGTCAAAAACTTGATGAGTGCTCGGTACTCGTTCTTTTCAATTTCCGTGTCCTATCGCCTTCAGCTGGCTGTCACTAATATATAAACTGCCTCAACAGACTAAATATACTTGCATTGAACAACTCAAACGATGTTCTACGTATACATTGACTAGTTCACTTTGTTATTGCCAAGGGTTGAAAGTTAGTCTGGCTTAGACCTTTTTGACCAGCCCTCGCATATCCGAAGTTTACACACCACACTAGTTAGTATCTGAATATAGTTACTTCCCGACGACTGCTTGGATCAAATGTCACTACATTCCTGACGACTTATAATTATCACTGCCCAAACACAATGCAATGAGCGTCTACCGAATCTCAACAGAAACAATGTAACACAGCTACAATCATTATTAATCAATATATACACTGCCATATAACAGTGTTCCATGCCATATTTCAGTATGGTCCAACCACGCTGTATTTATTTTTTGAATTTAGAATTTAAACCATAGGTTTGTGCTATGTAGGTTCAACTCGACATTAATATGATCAGAACGTATCATCACACACTGATTGAAATACAGTGTCATAGATACGGTGCCGCACCAGAAACCTATGATGGTGGGATCGAATCCAAGATTCGGCCTGATTGTCTTTCTAGAATATAGAATATATGCTTCCACCTAAGTGGTTAACGTCCAAAACTTGCAGCACCGTGGGGTTTCCTCTGACACAAGCTGACACGCCATGACATACCTGAAGTACTGTTCACAGCGGATTCATAGCCAACTCACTCTCTCATTCACTAATAAGGTTAAGGCGCACGGAAATTGAGGAACTTGATCTACTAAAACTGAGTTTAATTATTACATTGGTTCAACATAAGGATATCTGATGGTATGGTTTTGTGTCCACTGCGCAACACGAGTTGCAGCCTGGCGAGCTATATATATTATCAATATGAAGGGCAGATAATCATATTGTGAAAGTCAAAGATATCGCGTTATATATTGAAACAAAGTGAATAATTCCAATGATTTTTAAGCCATTACGTAAGTGCATGTTCTTGCACCATTATGTCCGTGTTTTAAAACCATTACGTCGGTGCATCGTAGCCTAACAGCAGAGCAACGCATGACGTAATCAATGGAATGTGGGTGCTCGTTACACATGCAGGGAAATGTATACACATACGCAGGTGATCATGGATTCGCTAAAATATAAGCACTCACATTGCAAGTGTGATGTTTCTTTTAAATGAACGTTTTATCATGCGTAATGCGGTTAAAATAGTTTACAACTGATGCGGAACGATTGTTTTATGCTGTTATCAATTTTATTATTATTGCTTAACAAATGAGCGATAAAATGAACAGCGACCACTTTTTTCATTTTGACGGACGAATTCAATCATTTAAATTTTCAAATAATACAATAATGTATCTAGGAGTGAAAAACCATAACTACAGACAAATGGAGATCGATTGTTGTTTGTAGGGCCAGATTGCACAATACCCCATATCATATGGCGCTTCATTCCTTTCACAGGGCGTCGAAACATGTGGCACGCTGGAGGTCTCCACAGCTACAATTCTCTCCTGTGGCTCTTCCCTGATAGTGACATGGGACTGCACATAAGCATGAATGGACCAACATCTTCAAGTTCTAAATCTCCCCAAAACATGCTGGTGTCAGCATTGTATTACGTCACAGATATCCTGCTCGGGGAAACACCATGGCTGGACAGAGAAACAGTCTGCACTTTCCCTAAACCCTGGTTGGACTTGGCAATGTTTATGCCTCCGCCTGACAAAGATGACACACCTATCAAGCCTGAGTACCCCCTGTCTGAGTATGCTGGTAGTTATTTCAACCCCTTGGTTGGCGAGTTCTCTGTAACCTTCGACAAGTCAACAGATCAACTGCAAGTGAAATTGAATAAATTAGATGGTGTACTGGTGCCGAAAAGGGATGGATCTTTTGGATTAGAGTGTAAAGGCGTGTATGAGTTCTTAACATGGCCCGAGAAAGATAATCCTATGTATATGTACAACGCTGTGTTCATTAGGGGAGCGGATTCCTTTGATGGTGTTGATTTGGTAATGGCTATACCCATAGATTCACCCATTAGGTTTCAAGTTCAGCGTGTTGATGACGTGAAAACTGAACTTTGAATTTGTTTATTCACTCACTTTTCAGGATAAACATAAATTGCTTATTACATACACTGGAATGTTTGTTTGTTTGTAGTTTAACGCCGTACTCATCTATATTCCAGCTATATGACGGCGGTCTGTAAATAATCGAATCTTGACCAGACAATCTAGTGATTGACATCATGAGCATCGATCCACGCAACAGGGATACGATGACCGGCATCAACCAAGTCAGCGAGCCTGACCACCCGATCCCGTTAGTCGCATTTTACGACAAGCATAGTCACAAGCATAGTCGCCTTTTACAGCAAGCATGGGTTGCTGAAGACCTATTCTACCACGGATCTTTAGAGGTCTACACTTGAATGATAAATGTTTGTCCTTTGACAACATATGTTTGCGTTACGACAGCATCTAACGGTGATCATTTCATACGTTTGCCCATTGTAGATATACCTGCGATAGTATTGGGCTTTTACAAATCGATAACGACGTAACTCAGTTAAATTACTGTGAAGATATAAATATTAATGAGTGTTATGATTTGATTTTTATCATTGTGCAACGTTGACATGATAGTTACACACTATCGTGTTACAGTAGACATTTTTGTACTTTTAGTACTTAAACGGCAGATCATAATTATATTATTATTTTACACAGAAATTGAATTATATAATAGCTATAAAAACATTTTCAATTTCGTTATATTTATTGCATGTTCTAATAATGAAATCAATAACAGTGACAAAGCATATATGACCAAGTAAAATGATAATCAGGTTCAACGACTTGATTTCAATTCCACCTCATTGATTCCACCTGATATTGATTGCTGTACTTGATACCCACGGCACAGAAAGGCAGTATCCCGTACACACGGTTACAATGGAGCCTGGTCATCAACTATTAATTTTACAAGATAAACAATGGTGTATGTGTGTTGAGGGAACGGCACCTGACGCCAAGTTGTCGTAGTTGCTACCATCAGTCGAGACTGAATCCGCTGATCGTGGGTTCCAATCCCAGATTAAACTTAATAATATATGTTCCCTGGTTTTCACTGTATCCTGCATTTTGAATTTCCAAATGATAAATCGATGTAGCGTTTGACAATTGCTTAACCCCCTGCTCACCCCAAAAGGACTATCATTGACTTAATATGTGTATTTTGAGTTGACAACAAACACTGCCTTGTATGGAAAATAATAACAGAAATATTGTCGATAAAGTATATTTGGTCAAAGAAGATTCAAATTTCCTTATATTTAAGTGGCATTTAGAAGCTGTAGTAACAAGGAAGATGTGGTAGCCTTACGTCGCATGATCAGAATAATGAAAGGTTGGAATCTATACGTTAATCCTGACTTCATTCAACTTTCCTAGAATGAAAACTGACCAAAATAAAGCATCTCAAAAGCAAATACTCCAATATCATCACGTCGTAGGACATCAGGAATGGGCTTCAGACTTTGCAAGTGTTCGGACATGAGCCCTGTGGTTGGCGTGGCTATAGCCAACACGCTCACCAATAGGCTGGTCCACCAACTATACACGGTAGGAAGCCACGAACAGACCGCGTGAGGTATTATGTAGAAGCTCAAAGACACTGGCCCACGTAGCCATCTCAGATATCGCCAGTACATTTTTAATTTATTATTAAAACAAGCTATAAGGTTTACGAAAAGGTAAACAAAACAAGCAATAAAAGATAAGACCAAATAAATGTAAAGATATTAGAGGTACCATCAAAAAAAGGTAATTGTTTTTTTATGAAATCTTCTAGAACTATTTCACACAGACACAGCTACATCTATAAATGACAAAGTATTCGTATATATTTTCTCTATCCTCATACGTTATGAAAATATCAAAATGCTTTGAAATAGCTGACAAGAAGATCTGCAAGTGTTGGTCCGTCTAGGTGCAGAATACACAGGAGTCGTCCATCCTATCCTCATCCCTGTCCTACGCACTGATGGAGTTGGGTATGGAATCAGGATGTAGATAGTCATACGGAGTATCCAGCGATCTGTTTCGTTCACTGATGATCACTCCAATCTTCTTCAGGCCCTCCCGGAAGCTGCAAACGAATACATGACATTGTGTAAGCACTTTCATGGTTTCATAATAATAAAAATATATGTCCTACATCTTTTGATACGATGTAATATACACACCATACAGTACTGTTCGTTCAGTAAAGTTAGAACTGAGGTGGGTGAATAGGAAGGTTTTCTATTTGAATACTGAAACTATTTCGAAGCATTTTTGGATATTGGATATGACTATTTGTAACCGACCCATTTGTCTCCTGACAATAGAATATATTTATACATCGGTATATATGAATGCTGTTTGTTTAGAATGTGTTTGTATCACGCAACTATCACACATGACGGGCAATATATATATCAATAAACAATTGTAAGTACTCACTTTTCAACTATTTTCTCTGCGTTTGGATCACATATGTAGTTAACCTCAAAGTCTCCCAGACTTTTGACTCCCTTCTGGCTGAGTATTTTGGTGACGATCATTGCGTCCATGGTCTGTTTCTTGTCCGGCAGGGCATTGAGGATATCAGCTTCTGTTCTGGGAGTCTGAAATGAGCTTCTTGATCAGAAATGTTTGCAAAGCTATGTGTCACACTTTGTGTCAACCTTTTCCTTATATCAGTTCTCCTGTACACAACACTATTCTACAAATAATTCGTGAAATATATATTATGTCAGTGATGTTAGTGTATTGAAACAGTCTCTCAAACAAGCAACGCCACTGAAGTAGTAGTGATAGTTTACAAAGAGTACACCCAATGTATAATTTTCCAAAGACGACGCTTCAAACGTTTGTCCAGCTGAGTAAATAGAATGTCCAGTCAAGTCACGGGTTACCTCCCTTTGTTCATTCATGTCAGCTAAAACTGAAAGAACCACCAGCTGGAATGATATCGTTCACTTAGTGGAACAGCCAGAAAAATCAAGCGATGGAATAGCAGAAGGAAAAGCGCCTTGGTTATCACCATTCCTTTATAGCAGTAAAACCACATGATACAGTTGTGCCACCATACCAAGCTGATTAAATATAGTGTCAAATCAAATAGCCCATCACGAGTGTCCTCCCTTTGATCAAGCATGTCAGCTAAACATGAAAGCAACACACAGCTTTATTATTTATATTGGGCATTTCAGAGGATATCTTTCAGGCAGCGAGTGTAAGTTGAAAAATGTCCAAATTCGGAAACTGAAATAATTACCTGTCCATAAAAATGTATTTAAAATACATTGTACCACTCTCGACTCCGTCCCAATTACCTGGACACTTATGTTCGATCTAACTGAGAGACGCTGGATTGGATTTGACAGGCAACCAACCACAACCTGAACACCTTTCAGAATCAGTCAGTGTAATAGCGGTAAAAAATGTGACTTGGGTATCACCATTCTTTTATATTATCACAACCACATGATGCACTTGTCGCAGGATACATTTACAGGCGAGAACAAAAGCCGGTGTCACCTTGCTCATGTCAAATACATACAAAACCAGAAGGGGCAGCTATCCCCAGTGCATCTATGAACTATAATGAAGGTAAGAATGTATGTCGCCATGCATATCATTTATCTGGATAACACACAAGCCAAATACTCGTCATCCGGGTTACTTTTGGTCTCGAGCAACCCATGCATGTCGTAAGATACGACTTACGGGATCGGGTGGTCAGGCTGTCTGACATGTTCCATGCCATCGTATCCCAATTTCGTAGATCGATGCTCATGATGTCAGCCACTGGATTGTCTGGCCCAGACTCGATTATTATTACAGAACACCGTCACATTTCTGGAGTATATCTGAGTGCGGCTTTAAACATAAACAATACACAAAAAAAAAACAATAAAAGAAAAACAAACCACAAACAAACACCGGCTTACCTTGTCTGCTGGTGGTCTACCAACAAGGCTGAGGGGGTAGACTGGCGGGAAGCCGTAGTAGTCGTACTGGGGGAAGTTGACGGCGGCGTGCTGGACGCTGCACGTGAAGATGAACGACGTCAGCGTCAGGATCAGCTGCTCCAACTCACGGAATTCGCCATCGCCAGGAACCCCCTAGAGAGATGAATGTCCACATTCAGAAACAAACGTTGCATGTGCTACCACATCACTCGACTAGAGACTACAAGGGCACACGGAAGGGACCTCTTTCTTTAAAAAAGATGCCATGTCAAATGTCAGTACATGTCTTGCCTATGAGAGATTATTGTTGAAAGGAGCTATTAGACACATGTCAGACATGTTTACCAGCATGGAAGATAGAACCCGGGGCGTCCGCGAGACGTGTGGTCGCTCTAACCACCAGTAAAGGGGCAGCGGTCTATTGTTGTAGATGTATTCTAATTCAGTCTATCGTGAATGCGCTGTCTCCTTTCAACCACAAAATAACTAAATAAAACTGAGTATTTACTTCACGTCAGGGGAATTGCTTCACAATGAAGGGAAATGGTAAACGAAATTCCCAGAATATAAGGTTGTCAACAAAACCGATAAAAGTTGTATGATGAAGTGATGAATGACCGTAGCATCTTCTGCAAAAGTGGTGTTATGGTCGGGGGTGCTTACTTCTGCAAATGAGCATGCATGCATCCACGAACTAATGCAACATGGTGGAGTGTGCAGACCATGTACACAACAATGTTCCGTCCTTAGTTCTGAAAACATTTGATGCACACTGTAAGCAACTGAAAATCTCCCAGCTTCATGCAAGCAAATATCTGATACCCAACAATATATATACCATGAGACAAAATCTATGGCCTTACGATTAAATATTAGTCAATAATTGATCCACCGGAATATTATTCTTATTCCCTGTCTGTAGGCCTATTGTGCTGTGTTCCCTACTGCAGACCTATGGTGCTATGTTCCCTGTCTGTAGGCCTATTGTGCTATGTTCCCTGTCTGTAGACCTATTGTGCTATGTTCCCTACTGTAGACCTATTGTGCTATGTTCCCTACTGTAGACCTATTGTGCTGTGTTCCCTGTCTGTAGGCCTATTGTGCTATGTTCCCTACTGTAGACCTATTGTGCTATGTTCCCTATTGTAGACCTATTGTGCTATGTTCCCTGTCTGTAGGCCTATTGTGCTATGTTCCCTATTGTAGACCTATTGTGCTGTGTTCCCTACTGTAGACCTATTGTGCTATGTTCCCTGTCTGTAGGCCTATTGTGCTATGTTCCCTATTGTAGACCTATTGTGCTGTGTTCCCTACTGTAGACCTATTGTGCTATGTTCCCTGTCTGTAGGCCTATTGTGCTATGTTCCCTACTGTAGACCTATTGTGCTATGTTCCCTACTGTAGACCTATTGTGCTGTGTTCCCTACTGTAGACCTATTGTGCTATGTTCCCTGTCTGTAGGCCTATTGTGCTATGTTCCCTACTGTAGACCCATTGTGCTATGTTCCCTACTGTAGACCTATTGTGCTGTGTTCCCTACTGTAGACCTATTGTGCTATGTTCCCTGTCTGTAGGCCTATTGTGCTATGTCTCCTGTCTGTAGACCTATTGTGCTATGTTCCCTGTCTGTAGGCCTATTGTGCTATGTCCCCTGTCTGTAGGCCTATTGTGCTATGTCTCCTGTCTGTAGACCTATTGTGCTATGTCTCCTGTTTGTAGACCTATTGTGCTATGTTCCCTGTCTGTAGACCTATTGTGCTATGTCCCCTCTCTGTAGGCCTATTGTGCTATGTCCCCTGTCTGTAGGCCTATTGTGCTATGTTCCCTGTCTGTAGACCTATTGTGCTATGTTCCCTGTCTGTAGACCTATTGTGCTATGTTCCCTGTCTGTAGGCCTATTGTGCTATGTCCCCTGTCTGTAGGCCTATTGTGCTATGTTCCCTGTCTGTAGGCCTATTGTGCTATGTTCCCTGTATGTAGACCTATTGTGCTATGTTCCCTCTCTGTAGGACTATTGTGCTATTTCCCCTGTCTGTAGGCCTATTGTGCTATGTCCCCTGTCTGTAGGCCTATTGTGCTATGTTCCCTGTCTGTAGACCTATTGTGCTATGTTCCCTGTCTGTAGACCTATTGTGCTATGTTCCCTACTGTAGACCTATTGTGCTATGTCCCCTGTCTGTCGACCTATTGTGCTATGTTCCCTGTCTGTAGGCCTATTGTGCTATGTTCCCTACTGTAGACCTATTGTGCTATGTCCCCCTTTCTGTAGGCCTATTGTGCTATGTTCCCTGTCTGTAGGCCTATTGTGCTATGTTCCCTGTATGTAGACCTATTGTGCTATGTTCCCTGTCTGTAGGCCTATTGTGCTATGTCCCCTGTCTGTAGACCTATTGTGCTATGTTCCCTGTCTGTAGACCTATTGTGCTATGTTCCCTGTCTGTAGACCTATTGTGCTATGTTCCCTGTCTGTAGACCTATTGTGCTATGTTCCCTACTGTAGACCTATTGTGCTATGTTCCCTGTCTGTAGACCTATTGTGCTATGCCCCCTGTCTGTAGGCCTATTGTGCTATGTCCCCTGTCTGTAGGCCTATTGTGCTATGTCCCCTGTCTGTAGGCCTATTGTGCCATGTTCCCTACTGTAGACCTATTGTGCTATGTTCCCTGTCTGTAGGCCTATTGTGCTATGTCCCCTCTCTGTAGACCTATTGTGCTATGTTCCCTGTCTGTAGACCTATTGTGCTATGCTCCCTGTCTGTATGCCTATTGTGCTATGTCCCCTGTCTGTAGGCCTATTGTGCTATGTTCCCTGTCTGTAGGCCTATTGTGCTATGTTCCCTGTATGTAGACCTATTGTGCTATGTTCCCTCTCTGTAGGCCTATTGTGCTATGTTCCCTGTCTGTAGGCCTATTGTGCTATGCCCCCTGTCTGTAGGCCTATTGTGCTATGTTCCCTGTCTGTAGACCTATTGTGCTATGTTCCCTGTCTGTAGACCTATTGTGCTATGTTCCCTGTCTGTAGACCTATTGTGCTATGTACCCTGTCTGTAGACCTATTGTGCTGTGTGCCCTACTGTAGACCTATTGAGCTGTGTGCCCTACTGTAGACCTTTTGTGCTGTGTGCCCTATCCGTAGACCTATTGTGCTATGTACCCTACTGTAGACCTATTGTGCTGTGTACCCTACTGTAGACCTATTGTGCTGTGTACCCTACCTCTAGACCTATTCCGCCGTTCTCCCGACTCTGCACCATCTCACCGGCCCAATCCTGCATTTCTATGTCGTCAAGGAGACGCTGGGGTGTATCTGAAGACAAACAGCAAACGTTGCAGCTGAACTGCTTGTTAGGCTCACCTTGTACCATATTAATGTGAATACGGAAACACTTTTCAAATGAACCATTTGTAAACAACCAAATGAGGCGCACCGAGAGGAACGGAACGATGCTAATGCGGCATACACAGTCACTGAGATGTAGCAGAAGATGACTCAAAGGCGTCCGCAACTAAAGCATCTAAGATCTCGTCAGTGTTCGAGAACACGCTTCATCTGCGCATATTGGTAGCTCGGTGTCAATTATTACATATATCCATGCAGAACTGTGTCAGAAACCACAGAGCAAGGTTGTACTTGGACAAGCCCAAATTTCAACGTATTACGCATGTTGTATAATGCTATTGCTGAATATACGACATAAATAATTCGATCTTGAAAACAAAGGATAAGAAATAGGAAATACAAATATACAAACTGTACTTACCGTAATATAGGTCAACGTAACTTGTGACGTACGTTTTTAATGCGTTGTACATTAGTAAAGAGTCGTCACGGTAGTAGTACCCAGGAAGAACATTCTCATCGGACACCTAGAAAACACATTACCCAGGAAGCTGAGGAATTACACAGTGAGTGGCTGTCCTTGTATCGATCAGAAGCAAAAGAATTGAAGCATTGTATGAAATCATTTACCTGACAAGCACATGCAACAGGTGCTGTAGTAAACATTACTTATTACTCTGTGGGTGCCAGGGGTAGAATGTGTCTCCATTACTACTGCAGATACCCGCGGGGATTCCGGGTTAGATCTGGTCCCTGCAACCGACACTGGGACTTGGTTGACTGCGTGTCATCGTACTCCAATGGTGTGATCAATCACTGAGTTGTCTGGTCCAGGTTCGATTACCGCGAATAGCTGCAAGTTTTCTAATGCGGTGTTCGGTACAATGTAATATTCACTCACACATGTTGCTGTAATTGTGCGAAGGGGAAGTTAAACAACAACAACAACAACAACAACAACAACAACAACACACACACAAGTTTATATTCACTACGGTTCCTGAGTCACAGCCTCCTTGGTGTAGTGGATAGTGTGTTTGCCTGGAGTACAGAAGATTCGGTTGTTCATTAGACGCTAATTAACAGATGGTACTTGCTGTTACCCTGTTTGGCGCTCGGTACTAACTGGATTACAACTAGGACTGTCCGGCTCGGTGTCAGTACAATGTGCCCGAGTGGGGTATCCATGTTAACCTTGTGCAGGGTATCGCAATGGAGCAACAACATTAACAAAGACCCCGGCATACCTCAGGTGTAGTACAATCAAACACACACATACGTGTACATACACGACACTATGTGAGTGAAATATTTTTGAACGCGACGTTACGCCCCATCCCCCCCGCCCCTCCCCCATTTCACATCACCTCACTTACGCCCGTAAGTGCCATCAGCCATAACACTTTTCTGTTCAAATGTTAATAATATAATACAATTCGACTAGGAACAGAGCTTCTACGCCTTCCGAGTACGTACTCCTCGTGTCCTCAGGTCTTCTGGCAATATTCCTTGAACGTCCATCCGCCATCCTTTCCTCCTATGAAGAGGAAGATAAGTGTACATGACATCAACCAACATTTTACTGTCAGTGATAATAATTGATGGCTGTGTGCTCCTCGGTAATGATTGTTGTTCAAATGTAGAAGCATTCATGTCCTTAATGTGATAAGGGTTTTAACGAAGATGAATTCATGTATTTTCTGCTTTCTGCAAAGTACAACATCCTTAAGGAGCTTAATATATATTAGGCAATTGAAATTTTGAACTATTTTGAACCTTTCATAATCAGAAATCTTTAACTCAAAATGATCGCGTTATCTTGCTAACGGATGTGTATATCAAAATATATTTCGTACTCGAACACAAAACTAAAGCGAACAAAATGTATTCAAATGTTTGCATGTTTCACCCAGAAGCTTCGTCAGTCGTCAAAATCGACATATTGTACATTCATACGACATGTGTTCTTATGGTTCAGCATAGATAAAATGTCGCTTGGGGCGACTACTTGGTCGATGGACAACGTTGCATGGTACCTATTTAAGTTGAGCACACCATTCCTCCCTGATGACATCGTCTTGTCGATCCATCCATCAACAGCCAGAAGTTTGTCCACTGCAAGTCTGGTCGAGGCAATTGTTTATATTCAATGCCTTCGATTAATATTGGAATTTGTTCATACGTAAATCAGTTCTTATATGCATCATACAAAATAAATGTAATGTTGAATATTCTAGATCAAAGTCAGCTTTTGAAACACATTTGAAAGTAGAACAAAAGCATCAGAAGAATGCAGTGTAATTTTACTACCGATTGAACCGTAAAGAAGAACATATTATTGGTTTGTATCTATAGTTAATTACAAAGACAGTTATCCAATATCACTTTTACAAATTGGTCCGCTCATATAGTGCCAGGGTCTACGCACGCGTACAGAAAGTCATGCTCTAATAATGCGCCAGTTATCCTATAAGAGATATTCAAATTGCACTCTCAGGCACCCGAGGAGTAATCAGTACACAATGCCTGGTAGACATCCATGTACTTTTACCACAATCGGTGTTCACATATCAACTATGCTACAACAAACAACCGTGTACACTGTAAAGTCTTAGTTTAAAAAAAATCATACAAATGAATAATGTTTCTACACATATAACACCCAAAGTCATTGACGTACTTATTGATCGGAAGCAGGAATAGGAGATGCGGTGCCAGGAGCTTGAAGATTGGGTGGGAGATGGACACTTGTCTGTGAAGTGCCACAATGACTCCTTCCATCAACAGATGGGTATATCCTGCAACAACCAGACCGAACAATGAGAAATCTTGAAATATACACTAGTAATCATGAAAATACCCATACATGAATAAATTATATAGTTTGAGAAAACGTTGCTTAACGTGAAAAACTGGTCTGATTGAAACGCTGCAGTTAAGTTATTGTGAGTGAAACATAACAAACTGGGGAACAGTTCGAGACTTACCAGTGGTAACCAATGCGCTATAGATTTCAAATACTCTTATCTTGAAGGTAATTTTGTATTTAAAGTTCAGCATTCCTTACTTGTTATGTTGTTAATTCCATACTGTAAAGATACTTTGTACTTGGATGTACGAGATGTGGGGGAGAGTAAGCCTGAAAGGCTAGACATCGCGTCGTCATCTACGCGGGAAAGCTACCCATCAGTGATTGAGATTTGTTTTACGTCGTTGAACAATATTTATCTGTTATATGAACGGCGTGTAGCTTGAGGTAATACAGGACGGTCACCACGAGGGAAACACGATATTAGTGAACCAGTGACCATAGGTTTCTGGGATGCAGTTCTGCACAGGCCTTCAGCTACACAAACGTCAAATGCATGATGCCATCGTCACGTCGCGTTAGTTTTTAAGCCAACATATAAAAGTACAACGAGTTCAAATATCCTTACACGATATGAGTCACTCGTATATGCAGGCGTATCTCGTTGCAAAACGTATGACTGATGTATTATATTGTGTCATTCACTTGATCCCACACCCTGGCAATGATTGATAGAACTAAACTATTGCTTACCACGGGGTCAAACCAATTATCTCATTCATATTCCTAGCCTCGTTGTAGCTTAAGCGTTCGCTTGACATGCCGAACATCCGGGTTCGATTCCCCCACATAGACGTGATGTCTCACTCACTCACTCACTCACTCACTCACTCACTCACTCACTCACTCACTCACTCACTCACTCACTCACTCACTCACTCACTCACTCACTCACTCACTCACTCACTCACTCACTCACTCACTCATTCACTCACTCACTCACTCACTCACTCACTCACTCACAGATGAAAGGACTTAAATGTTGATCCTAAATTAGACATGCAAGTTCTAAACGATGACACCACAGGGTACACTGACCAAGATGGGTGAGCGACTGGTGGTAGGTGGCCTCTGCCTGGTTGTACCACATCTTCACCAGAAGCCACGTGTTCGGGTCGTCGGATGGGAGAAACACCTGTGACAGATTTAGTTCAGATGATTATTCAACGAACATATATAGCACATGCAATAATGAAAATGACGGACGAAAATGAAGTACCTAGGTTTATCAAAACCTGAAGACAAACATAATTATGTCAAATATTAACTGATAATCTACTGAAAGACTGGGTGCAGTCATTATATATATATATATATATATATATATAAATCACAACACAGCTTGAGGGCGTAAGATTGCAGGGAGTTGACCATATGCGGTAATAACACCTAATTAACCCATCAACAAGAAAATAGCCGCAATTTAGATGCCGAAAATTGTGTATGCGTCACATGTGACATTGCGGTATGCAACTGTTTCACCTTCTTACTAGGCTATGAATAAACCTTGGCAATAAATGCTGAACTATTGCTAACTACAAACTGCAGCCTCTCTCTTTACCTGCAGCAGCAAATCATATTTCATAATCAAAATCTTTTATTTCACAAGCGGATAGACAGTTAAACAAGATCATAGTTACGGGGTTGTCTGATCCGGGTTCCTGGAACAACTGGATGGCGACCGGAACAAGCTGATCTTTATTGTTTCGATACAGTAGAGCAATAGGGGCACATACCTGTAGACAATGTAACGTTCCGTGGCACATCAGCAGGTCTGATACACAATGCTGTCTTTTACATTACCAATAAGTCGCTACAGGTCGTAAGTATTAGTGGGAGAGATCTTTGTAAACTATTTGCATTTGCATTTGTGTCATTTTCCATATAGTGGCACGCTAATACTAGTGTATAATATTAAGCTTTCGTTACCAAAGTAATCATCTAGCAAATTAGCTATCACAATCCATTGTAGTGAGTGAGTGAGTGAGTTTGGTTTTACGCCGCTTTTAGCAATATTCCAGCAATATCACGGCGGGGGACACCAGAAATGGGCTTCACACATTGTACCCATGTCGGGATTCGAACCCGGGTCTTCGGCGTGACGAGCGAACGCTTTAACCACTAGGCTACCCGACCGCCCACAATCCATTGTAAGAGTGTGCCTTTACAATTATGTAAACGTTGTCTCCGCGTTACAAGGGTAAGAAACATTCACCAACCACGTAGTCTTCGCCTTTGCAGACTAAGTTGTGGAGAATGTTCAGGTCACATTCAAACAAACTCTTATTAGACAAGGCTTCTGCCACAGATTTCCCTTCCAAGATTGGTTCAAGATCGTCCGGTGTGACTGCGAGTCTGAAATTAAACATGTGCGAACAGAGGGAATGCACGATGGCAAACTATTGTACGACTAGATAGCATCTATTATGTTATGAATCCTCCTTACTTATTATGAATGATATGGGTAACTCTATACAATTTACACTGACACTATTCATCAACGGGAAACTGAAGTGTTAACGAACATGAGATGAATATAAGGTTGCCTCATGGTATGACATTACAAACGAGGGCAATACTGTTGACACTTCATGAAAGGAAGTACTAAACGTCTGGAGCGGATATGAACTATTTAAATGTAAATTTGTTGACCATACGTATATGTGCAATATCATCATGCACTGCATTGGAAGAACAAAAAGGGGAAAAAAACGACTCACTTTTGAGGAATATGAGAACAAAGTCGAATGATACAGGGACAGGGTCCGTTGAGCCTCTGGTGACCGAAGAACGAGTCCTCCCTCCACAAGTGACTAGCCTGTCAACCACAGTATCAAACTCTGAGTACTTGCAGTCACATGTTTGTGTTCACACTTAAAATTAATTAATGCAATTTACAATTTTCACACATCGTGATGTTTTGTCTGATATTGATATTGTAGCAAACAATTGTTATTACCCAGGGCTCGTTGAAGATTTTTCTGACGTACACGTTTCTGATGTCATCCAGACTTTTCCATCTTCCAGTTGTTAACATCGTGATGCTGCTCTGTGCTATCAGATTCAGTTTTAACTTCTGTAAGTCCCACTGAAAGATTTTATCAAGTTCAAAGAATTGATAAATATAAACATCTTAAGATATTTTGGAACAGTTTGCGTTTTGAATATCAAACAAAAAACGTGTACATTGGGTTATAGGTCTATTCTCGATAATATTTTGTTTGGGAACAAAATGTGAAATCAATATTTTCTTCTTAGTTATGTTCAAAGTGTTCCTCATCATAATCCCAACATAATTGTGTAATCGATGACCGAATGCATCCTGAACACGTATAATTCTGATAAGTTTACCTTGTTAGGAGGTAAAATCCGTCAAAAAGAAAATCACTTACACGGTGTTGACTTGGAATCTGCTCTTCAAGAGGCAGTTCCTTGATCTGAATAAATATAATTAGGATGGGAAATGAAGGAAACTAATACATCATTCCAAACGTAGTAGAAAACACAAGCATATCAATTATATGACAGTGAGTGAGTGAGTTTGGTTTTACGCCGCTTTTAGCAATATTCCAGCAATATCACGGCGGGGGACACCAGAAATGGGCTTGTACCAATGTCGGGAATCGAACCCGGGTCTTCGGCGTGACGAGCAAACGCTTTAACTACTAGGCTACCCGACCGTCCCTTATTACATGACAAAATACACACGCGTTGTTGTTGTGCCAACTACATCTGCCATATGATTTGGGGAATAAAACAAATGTTGAAGTGTAAACTACCACACCATCTCACCATGTAAACACATGGACGTTATTTGATGATATCGACTCAAATTCTACCGACATGACATGGTGAGAACGTTAACAGTCACGCCCAGAGGCAAAGCAAAGGAGTCTCTTCTGAATAAGTCTTCGTAAACATGTGATTAATTTCGTGATTTGTAATTATTAATATTTTTATCGCAACGATCGTAGTATAACAAAACATTGAACATCACATGTCATAATTCATAGAGTAGGTGAAGACGAAAAAAATATTCTTTAGAAAGTCATTGATGGTAGCTCACCGAGGCCGGGAGAGTGACATCACTTGTGTCCACTACGTAAATTTTGCGTTTGTCCTCCAAGTCCAGCCTCCTCTGCTCCTGTTGGGCATCATCCTGTGGAAGGAAGGTGTCATTTTCCCGGAACACGTAGTGGTAGTGAGGTCGCAGCCACCTGAACACGGGGAAGATGCACACGTCTCCGTTAGACTTGTTCTCCACTGTGATTCTTTCAACGTACCAGGAACTTCCAAAGCCCGAGTCGTCACGGAATATTTCAAGCTTGCCTAGCTTATCTATAAATGCAGTCTTATCCTTTGGCAACTGAAACATATCCAGATTCCCTCTTTCAAAGTCATTCTTGAAGACATGGTTGAGTTGGAGTTGATCCGTGAATGATCCTTGCTCATCGTGAAGTATAACAGACACATTTGCATCTGTACCTGCACCTTGGACGTCCCCAGTTCGTACATGAACAACAAACTCATGATTGACGCTGGATGACATGCTGAAACAGCGAGTATGGTGGCAGTCACACAGTTCTAATGACTCACTGTGTTGTGAGAGACAAAAGTACGTGGCTTTGGTAAAGGCTGTTAGTCTTCACTCAGTAAATAAGAAATGTCTTTAATGTCGCCATGTATATTCCCTATACAGACCACTGCATGATCATCGGCATCTGAACCGTTGGCTGCTCTTGAATAAGGTCTAGATGTTGTGTTTCAGTTAGAGCGTACATCCTGTAATATGACAGTGAATAGCACTTGAATGAATTAAACATGACACAACAGACGGCGTCTCAGATTGACGGAATAAATGCCAATCCACTATGACGATAAACGTTGCAAAATCAGTAGCCTTACGTATATATATTGTGAGTGAGAAATAGGCTTCACAAATTGCACCCATTTTGGGAACGAACCCAGATATACATGATTGTTTTCTTAATCACCTACCTGGTATGTGGCTCAAACTACAACATACATGATATATCATTATAAGTTAGTGTTTGAAGTTGACACGGCATCCTCAGGGGATGAAATATGTTTATGCCAGAACATGGGTTACATGTAGGTATTTGTGTAATTATTTTGACTTGCACGTGTGTTCTGTCGATTGTCAGCGATATTTAATCACTTGTTAAATGAACTGACAGACATTTACAAGATAACAAGTTGTCCACCAAGCACACTTGCATTCCTTCTGTTGAATCGAGGACACACTGGCTAAATAATGTTATATGCTTACAAACCCCACTTACAAATTACGACTTTCCTTCGATTGTCAATATAAGAGGGAAGAGGAAGACCATTGTGAAATCACTTCACATAACAGGGAAGTATATATTTCAACAATCAGGGAAGTATGTATTGCAACAAGCATCTACAATACTGAGCCTATCTGTTTGCTGGTTCGGTTACTCACATCTCAGTCGGGAAATAGTCCGCGTGTGTGTATGTTTCCTGTGCACTGATACATTCCGACACTGGGGAACATGGAGGAGCGTAGCTAGAAATCCCTTATATAACCCCGTGGGTATAGAAGAGGAAATTTGTTTCAACTTTGGGACTCGAGGTCAGAATAAGGCAAATAGCTATAGGTTCTCAGGGTGCCGTTGTACAAAACAACCTTAGCGCTACGACTGTCGTAAGTCTCTGTTAAGGTATGGGAGTTACGATCACCTTAGCGCTACGACTGTCGTAAGTCTATGTTAAGGTATGGGAGTTACGATCACCTTAGCGCTAAGATCGCTTTGTACAACAGTACCCTGTACAACAGCATTGTCTCACCGTGGAGATTCGCTGACATAATAGATCCCCAAACCTCACGTCTGTCACTCTGTGGAGCTTCAGAAGCAAAGGAGGCCTCAAGAACCTTATGACGTTTTCTCTTTGCGCAGAATGTGTCCTCTTGCCTGCCTGTCTATATCACCGAGGGGGCTTCGGATCATAATAGGACATCAGATGCCTCATGTTTGTCACTCTGTTGCAAAGCAGAAGCCCCAAACCCCATGGCTGTTTCGCCCTCTTCTTTGGCTTCCCTTGGGGCACCGGGTGAAATAGGTACCCTCATGTCTGTTTTTAACTATACCCAATGTCGTGAACCGTCACTTGACGTGAAACTACTTGTTTGCCTGGTGCAGACTAGATTATTATATTATTTACAGGTTGCCGACAAAGCCGACAAAGCGTAAATAAACATGTTGATATCGCTTGTTTCGAACAGATGACAATTAAGCCTAATTTCGTCCACACATGTGTTGTAATTGAAGTTGTTATCACAAAGGGAACGGTGGTGTAGTACAACACGTTCATGCACGTCAGCGTGAGTCTAGTACCAACTTGACCATACAAAAGGAATTGACCTACATGAACAAACCTATATCACTGGAAAGTACTAGAAGAGATGATTTTGACAATTAACTTATGTCCTACAAATGGGCTACTTTTCCACAAATCTCACTTTATTTGTATACTATTTTCAGAAAAAACACACAGCAGTCATTTGTAAAAAAGAAATCTGCATTTGTGTTGTATCATTAGGCTCTATGGTAAATCAGTCCATTTAGCAGTGAGAGAACAACCCTTTGATTGACGGACGACAAGCAGGGGGTATGGATGAGGACAGATTAGGATATGATATTCAGATTGACAAAAACATCATTTCACGCACTCACATGGCTTGAAAGACCTGATAAGCTACAAACGAAAACCAATTAGCTGAATTTTTATACATGTGTTATACATTATATACCGTAACACCATAGTTCATGAAAAGCACCCTCACAAATGTAATAATGTGTGCATATTAAAAGTACATTAGAGGAAATTATACAAACAGCCAGGACAAATATGAGACTCGTAATTATAAACACCTATAGGGCTGATGTAAATTGCTCCTCTGGCACAATGTATAGCCCCAAAAGTTGGATCCCATTGGTGCCTATTATTCAGCAAAACCTCTTGCAATGTTGCCACAGGTCACCTGAAAGTAACTAATTTTCTCATTCTGCAACAATTAATGTAATTTGGAATATTGTTCATCTATGTTGCAAAACAGAATAGTTATTTTTTAAACTCCTTTACACAAATGTTTAACTCTCTCAATGCCTTGTTGCCTGCGGGGGAAATTAATAATTATTCCATCTTGAACACTTTTTTGAGTTATGATAAACCAAATAAAACTTAATAATCATGTAAATGGTGAAATGCATCCGCATAAAGTATAAAAAAACATTAAAAGTAATTGCCACAACAGATGTAGTTTCTTTCAGTCTTGTTCTAATGACCTTACCGACTATCTTAAGTTGATGAAAATATCCATTCATTTTGCGAAAATGAAACACCATCTTTCTTGTGCGTTTTCAGAGTGGTCAGATGGCAAATCACGGTCTAAATTCAATTTGGAACATTGAATTAAATATGTCTTGAAATGGGTAATACTATATGCTTTACACACAGGATACATCACAACATGTACCCCTACTTAGGATCACACACAGGATACATCACAACATGTACCCCTACTCAGGATCACACACAGGATACATCACAACATGTATCCCTACTTAGGACCACACACAGGATACATCACAACATGTACCCATACTTAGGATCACACAGAGCATACATCACAACATGTACCCATACTCAGGATCACACAAAGGGTACATCACAACATGTACCCCTACTTAGGATCACACAGAGGATACATCACAACATGTACTCCTTCTTAGGATCACACACAGAATACATCACAACATGTACCCCTACTTAGGACCACAAACAGGATACATCACAACATGTACCCTTACTCAGGATCACACACAGGATACATCACAACATGTACCCCTACTTAGGATCACACCCAGGATACATCACATCATTGTGTCCATACTTAGGATCACACACAGGACACATCACAACATGTACCCCTACTTAGGATCACATACAGGATACATCACAACATGTACCCCTACTTAGGATCACACCCAGGATACATCACATCATTGTGTCCATACTTAGGATCACACACAGGACACATCACAACATGTACCCCTACTTAGGATCACATACAGTATATATCAAACCATGTGTCCATACTTAGGATCACACACAGGATACATCACAACATGTACCCCTACTTAGGACCACACACAGGATACATCACAACATGTACCCCTACTTAGGACCACACACAGGATACATCAAAACATGTACCCCTACTTAGGATCACACACAGAATACATCACAACATGTACCCCTTTTTAGGATCACACACAGAATACATCACAAATTGTACCCCTACTTAGGACCACACACAGGATACATCACAACATGTACCCCTACTCAGGATCACACACAGGATACATCACACCATGTAACCCTACTCAGGATCACACACAGGATACATCACAATTGTACCCCTACTCAGGATCACACACAGGATACATCACAACAGGTACCCCTACTTAGGATCACACACAGGGTACATAACAACATGTATCCCTACTCAGGATCACACACAGGATACATCACAACATGTTCCCCTACTTAGGATGACACACAGGTTACATCACAACATGTACCCCTACTCAGGATCACACACAGGATACATCACAAATTGTATCCCTACTTAGGATCACACAGAGGATACAACACGACATGTACCCCTACTCAGGATCACACACAGGATACATCACATCATGTACCCCTTCTCAGGATCACACAGAGGATACATCACAACATGTACCCTTACTCAGGATCACACACAGGATACATCACAACATGTACCCCTACTTAGGATCACACACAGGATACATCACAACATGTACCCCTACTTAGGATCACACAGAGGATACATCACAACAGGTACCCCTACTTAGGATCACACACAGGATACATCACAAATTGTATCCCTACTTCGGATCACACAGAGGATACAACACGACATGTACCCCTACTCAGGATCACACACAGGATACATCACGACATGTACCCATACTTAGGACCACACACAGGATACATCACAAATTGTATCCCTACTCAGGATCACACAGAGGATACAACACGACATGTACCAATACTCAGGATCACACACAGGATACATCACATCATGTACCCCTACTCAGGATCACACACAGGATACATCACAACATGTACCCCTACTCAGGATCACACACAGGATACATCACAACATGTACCCCTACTCAGGATCACACACAGGATACATCACAACATGTATCCCTACTTAGGACCACAGAGAGGATACATCACAACATGTACCTCTACTTAGGATCACACACAGGATACATCACAACATGTACCCATACTTAGGATCACACAGAGCATACATCACAACATGTACCCATAGTCAGGATCACACACAGGATACATCACAACATGTACCACTACTAAGGATCACACAGAGGATACATCACAACATGTACTCCTTCTGAGGATCACACACAGAATACATCACAACATGTACCCCTACTTAGGACCACAAACAGGATACATCACAACATGTACCCTTACTCAGGATCACACACAGGATACATCACAACATGTACCCCTACTTAGGATCACACCCAGGATACATCACAACATGTAACCCTACTTAGGATCACACACAGGACACATCACAACATGTACCCCTACTTAGGATCACACACAGGATACATCACATCATTGTGTCCATACTTAGGATCACACACAGGAC